CTGTTCCCCCTCTCCTCCCATTAGTCTCCTAACAGCAGTTCCTCTTATCCTCATTGTTTATTGTACCTTCTAAACAATAGGTAATGAGTCTGTATTGCACGGTGGAGAGAGCCAGGGGTGATTTTCATTCCCTGAAACAGAGCGGTGGCTGTGACACAAAAAGGTTAAGTGCCTATGGTGAGGTCACAGACCAGCTTGTAGTCTTTGAGACAGCAGTTCTGAATCCCGACTGGGTTCTTGAATTCACTGTAAGGCCCTGTGCCTTTTGGCAGCCAAATTTAATTAAGAATTATTTTAATTTTTCTCCCTATCTCTGAGTTTCCACTTTATTGCTGCTTGTTAATGGTAGATACAGAAGCCATGACACTTTTTCTATCCAGCATGCTTTTTTACTGATGAAACTTAATCACACAGAAACTACTAGCTTTAGAGTTAAGCTTTCAAGTCCTTTCTGTATGTGACAGGGATTGTTGCCTGTTCTCAGAGAAACACGACTGACCACAAAGGCAGTTCAGAAAGGTTGTTAATTGAGGACTTTTTTTTTTTTGAAATCTTACATTTATACCAGTAAATCATCTGTGACTCATAAACTCATTCTCGATTAGCCGTTAGTGGTCTGAATATTTTTGCATCTACCTTCAGTAAAGCTTGTTTTAGCCTCAAATTCAGAGATTCTTTGGTCTGGAGATGCTGACTATTTAACAGTAGACAAATAACGTACTCTAGAACACTTCTGGAGGTATAAAATCGGTCTTTAATTATTGTTTTAAATTGGATGTATTTTTACTTTTTTTGAGGTTGAAGAAAACTGATCAGTTACGTATCCCATGTGTTTGAAGAAATTTCTGTATAAAGGTGATTTTTTTTTTTTTTTAATGCTGGTAATATATAGTCTCTCTTCCATCCCCAGCCTTTTCTTGACTCTTATTGACATGCCAAGGAGCTCTGGTAGTGTAGTGGTTATGAATTGAGCTGTGAACCTCATGTTCAGCAGTTCGAAACTACCAGCCGCTCCACTGGAGAAAGATGAGGCTTTCTGCTCCGGTAAAGATTTACAGCCTGAGAAACCCTGTACAGGGTCGCTATGAGTTGGAACCGCCTCCATGTCATTGACATGCTATTCCTAGTCTAAAGTGTCTCAGCACTTGGCTGAATGTAATTAGTTGAAGTTTAAGGAATGCTTAAAAATACAATTCTGTGTTCTCCCAAGTGGATGAGGATCAGAATTCTGCACTATACGAAAAAGCAAAGAAGATTTCCTGGATTGATTTCTCCCTTATTGCCTTAAAAATCAGATATGGTCTTGGAATATCTTGTTTGAGTAGGTGGAAGGCATGGCTCATTGCTCTCATTTTGCAGGTGGGGAAACATGTATGAGTGAAGCTCTGTAAACACAAAGGCTGGAGAATGGAGACTCCACTCTGCCAGGAAAGACAAAAGGCAGGCTAGAGGCTGAGTCACTGACATTTTTTAGTTCACCCTCCATAGGCATAGAATATCAAATGTACTTAATTAGGAAGGATTGTGGGCAAACTAGGAGCCCATAGTGACCAGAAAGCTGATGGTTCATGTATTCAATATCTATTTCTGGAACATCTGTAAAGTGTTGGACAACGGACATTGTTTTTTACAATACAATAAGATAGAAATCTCATTTGAAGTCCATAAGAACAGTTAGAAAAGTTAACTTGTGTCCTAAAGAGAATGCAAATTTAATTTCAAAATTGGTTAAATTAATTATATATTGAATTGTTGATATCCCAAACATACAGGAAATTTAACTTAATTTCTATATAAAAATCAGTATATTGTAAGCCCTATTTCTGTAAAATGTTCAGTTACTGTATAGGAATATATTCCAGTTTACTGAGATAACAAGGACAATTTGGGTTCAGTGGTAGAATGTTCACCTTCCAGGGGGGAAACCTTGGTTTGATCTAGCCAATGTCCCTTATGCATAGCCCCCATTCATCTTTCAGTGGAGGCTTATGTGTTGCTATAATGCTCAATGGATCTCAATGAAATGTCCAGACAGTAGGAAGAAAGGCCTGAAGATCTAATTTTTTAAAATCAGTCATATGAAAACTCTGTGGCTCACAATGGTTGAATCCACAACTGATCATGAGACTGGCACAGGACCAGGCAGCATTTCATTCCATTTAATGTTCTTTCATTTTCACACGAATGTCTTAACTCTGTCATCAACATATATTCATTCACAGACATAATAACTATCACATCTATTACCATCATCACATGACCTTAACATTTTTTGTTACTGATGCTGATTGTTCAAAGGGCCATTTTAACAGATTCAAAGCTGCGTAACTTTTGGTAACAGACATATTCGTAATTAAAATATCTAGATGCAATTTTACTGAAGGTCTGTGGTGACTCTTATCTCCATAATCCTTCTGCTTTACCCCACCTCATTCCTTAATTTGTACCTTTAAACCCCTATGCTAGATTAGAAAGGATGATTGATTGATTGAGTTGTCATTGCTGAAGAATTAGAAGGAACACATCCCCTCATTTCTAGAGTAGAAAGTGTTTATGGTTTAATCATGGTGGGTTCTTTTAGTGTCTAAGTTTGGTGGATGTTAGCAGCAGTGTTTAGACTAGCTTGGGGAGAAAATTGAGGAGGAGACTGGGGAGAGAGAATGGAATTACTCTGAGGAAGCTGTGTTTGAAAATAGAGAAGAACTAGCATTTGGATTTAAAAAATACAAGCATTTTCTTAAAACAACATCAACAAAACAAAATTTCCCAAAGCAACACTTGATTTGCTCAATTCTTCTACTGATGTATTCATAGTGAGTGCTACAGGGCTGGTTCAAGATCCTTTTCTTGACTGCTCAATTGGATGTATAAATGCACAATTTATTCATCAGCTGTTTCTCTGAGATTTTCCCAGGATCAGAAGTGCCTGTTCTTGTCATCTGGGGCAAGCATTGTTTTCTCATACCTCTGGAAACACAGCTGGATTACAACTGTCTTTGTTCCTTCAAAAATCAGGGCTCTCACATACAAATATTTTCCTCTGGCCATTGAAGGAGGGGTGTAATGAGGAGGTTGAATCAGGAGTCAGAGATTCATTTTCTATTCCTGGCTTTCCCCCTGATTTGCTGTGGGAAACCTGCAAGGAGACAACGCTGGGTTTTGATGAGGATAAGCAGGTGCATTCAGAGTCATCAGACACATTATGGAGAGTTCAACATTCAAACCAGGAAACACTATTAAAATAGTTTTCTTTGGGGTTGTTCAGAAAGACTCCTGTTAATCAATGAAGGGTCTCAGTGCCTGGTGCTAGCTGTACTACTATGGGTGAATCTATGCTTATATATGCACCTCTCTACTTACTGGTTGATTAAAAGAAACAATCTTCAGTCATGATAACTGATGTATGGTGGCAAGTCATGAATTCTTTGGGATCATGCTGTATTGTCTGAAGTGCCTGGAGTTCCCAAATGGAATGGTACTGTGTGTTGTGATTCTGTACAACTGCTGTGAATGATTATGAAAACCAGGGGCTTGATGCTACTTTTTTGATGGTTGTTGTTGTTAAGCACTGTCAAGTCTGTTCTGACTCATAGCAACCCTGTGTAGGGTTTCCAAGGAGTGGCTGGTGAGTTTAAACCACCAGTCTTGTGGTTCAAATCCACTATGCCGTCCAGTGCTTGATCCCACAACATAGCAATGGTGGTGGTTTTGCTGGTGGCAGGGACTGTTGGTTACATCTAGTAGAGAGTCTTTGGAGGGAAAGATGATGCTTTGGTGATGGGTGACATTAGAGGATCAGGATAATTTGAGAGAGAAAAATCAGAATGGGCTTTATAGTAATTGATTTTTTCATGCAATCACTGCTGGTATAGGTTAAATGCTGGACTGCTAACCATAAGGTCCGTGGTTCAAACCCACCAACTCTTCCTCAGAAACCCTGTACAAGATCTCTATGAGTCGGAACCGGCTCCACAGCATTAACAATGCTGTAACATACAAACTAGAAGCTTATGGAGGCCAAGACTGGGTTCCAGATTGGGGCTACCGTCCCTTACTTGTAACAGCATTTGTTACAAGTTGGCCTTTGTTTTGGGGTCTCCAGAAGATTGCCTTGAGCATGGTCCTGATGGAGGGCAGCGACTCAAAGCTTCAGCTCAAGTCCTTTCTCAAAAGTTCCTCCAAAAACCCAGTCCCTGCTCCGGACTCATGGGATGGAGTTCAGTCTTCCCAGAGCTCTTTGAGGACATTGGCTTACGGAACCCCTGCGCCTCCCTCACGCACACCTCGTGCGTGGTCCCTATGCCTCATGTCCTGTGTGTCACTCTTTGTGAATGAATGATGCACACGCACTTGGAAAACTATGCTGCCACCATGAGGGGGGGTCGGGAGGGGCTGACGAAGCTCGAAAGAATGCATGGAGAATCAGACGGACTTCCCCGAAAGCAGCCGAGGCGAGGCCGCCTTCCGTGCCACAGCCCCGCGCGTTCAGGCCCGCCCCCTCCCTACTGGCCCACAGAGAGCTGGGCTGTCGCGGGCTGCAGCGAGCTTTGCTCTGCTCTGGGGCTGTGTGTGTGTGTGTGTGTGTGTGTGTGGGCGGGGGGCGCCCTGCTGGCCTGCCAGTCCCTGGGACTCTGGCAGCGATTGGTTGCGGGCCCAAGCCCGTCCCCGGCCCGCCCCACCACGGCCCCTCCTCCGGCCCCACCCCGCGGATCTCCTCGCCCCGGGCGCGCGGAGCCCGCGCCTAGCCTGCCTCAGAGAAACGCCCTACTTAGTAGGAGAGCGCGGGCGAAGGGTAGTGAGAGAGCAAGCGTATGAGCGCGTAGCCTGCCCGGGGCCGCGGTGGAGAGGGCGCGGACGGGCGGGGAAGGGGGACGGAGTGCGGTAGGCTGGACGCAGCGCTCTTTCTGGGACGCCAAGTGCCAACTTTCCCTGAAGCTAGGGGAGGGCGTGCACTGTTGAAGGTGCGGGGCTGTTAGTGGGGACTTGAGATTTTAGGGAAGGAAGTCTGCTCCCCCTTGTCCCTTTACCCCTGCTACTAATCCCATTAAAAAGATCAAGACCAACAATACCGGCAAACTTCACTCTAATTCCATCTGTCTCGCTGGCACCATGAAGGCAGCCGTCGATCTCAAGCCAACTCTCACCATCATCAAGACGGAGAAAGTCGACTTGGAGCTTTTCCCCTCCGCGGGTGAGTGGTGACTGTAAGGCCCCGCACCAGTTTGAGGCAGGAACGGGTCCTTTCCTCTTTCCCCTTTCGCTCTCTGTCCCCTTCTCTGAGATGGTGCCGAGCGGGTAGCGTTGGCAGCTGGAGAAACGGAGAGAAGGAGGGAGGATTGTTGGTGTCCCAGGACCCATGGTTTTGGGGGGTATTTATTTTTACAGCTGTGTTTTAGTGGACAGTGGGGAAACAGCTTATAGAATTTCCAGCAAACCCATCTCAGCTTTTTGATTTTCCCAGTTAAGCGACAAGTCTCTGGCCTTATTTCTTCATATTAAGGGTTCTTCATATTAAGGGGGTTCTGCCTCAGAGGTTATCATCCCTGGACTTGGCATCCCCCAGAATTAGAGCTGAACTAGGACCTTGGACAACTAGAGAAAGACAGTCTAACCAGCCGGCCTCAAATACTCAAGTATTTGTCTCCCCATTCTCCCTAACCCATGTCGCTTTGCTTGCGAACTCCTCTCTTCAGTATTGAGGACAGGGAGACGGGGATAAATGAAATTATTCCCATAACTTCGGGAAGTGTCCCAAGCCTATTCATGCAGGTTACTCACTTTACTCATGTTTTTAATCTGTCATAAATTTGTTCTCTGGTATCAGCGATCCGTTAGAAGAGAGAAAACACCCCAAAACCAAACATGACTTTTGGTCTTTGGCTGTGATGGTGTCCAAACTATTTAATTTGTAAGGACTTGAGGAGTGGGATAGTAGAGAAATTGCATTGTCTTTTATGTCCTGTCCTGTAGAATTCCTGGAACAAAAGCAGTTTGAGAGGGAAAAATACTTGTTTTTAGGATTTGGAAACAGCCAACTATACTTAGAGATTAATGATTTTGGAACTGAAAACCTGTAAGGCGAAGGTGATACATTCTGGAAACGAATAAAGTCCAGCAACATGCTACTCTGTAGTATATGAGTATCAAATAAGTAGCTGCTGCTTCCTGTAGTTAACACTGTCTTGTCTCTTCTGCTATAATTAATTGCTTATTTTAACCCTTTGAAATATTTTACTTTTGTTGTTGTTGAGAATATACACAGCACAGTACATACCAAGTCAACAATAAGGTTTCTATCAAATTTTGTGTTGTTTTTGTCAAGTTGATCCCAGATAGCAGGAGTGGGAACCTTTTTCTGCCAAGGGCCATTTGGACATTTATAACATCATTCGTGGGCCATACAAAATTCCCAATTTAAAATTTAGCCACCTATAATGTGATGGCTGGAATTGCAGTTGGTTTGGCTGGGCCAGACCAAATGATTTCGTGGGCTGCACGTTCCCCACCCCTGCCATATATAGATAGAACTTAAATGAGCATATTGCTTAAGGCAGAAATTCTTTTCTAGTTAGACTGTTGTTTGGTTTCAAGAAGACTTCAGGGGATATGTTTAAGGTTTCTTAAGCCACTTAAACTTTCAACATGTCGAACTGATACTACTATGTCATTCAGAAATGTTAATAGAAAGACTGGTCATAGTCTCTTCTCTTGGACTCCCATACATTTAGCCTGATCTTGCTGTGTGGTTAAGGAGGAATAAACTTGTGTCTTGTCACAAACTAGACCAGTATGAGCAAGGCTCATACTAGAAATGTGGAGACATTTCAGTGACTTATTGCTACAATCATAAATGATGTCACTATAATGGCTGTGTTTAGGGGTTCAAGGAGGCCAGAATAGTTTTCATTGTCACAATTGATTCAAACTATATGAGTCCATAGAAGAAGTGAAAGGATGGTTCTCATCAAAGATAAACTCAACTAGTAGGTCCCTTCCTTAGGAATAGCTTGTTGCTATCTGTGTTTATGGGTGAGAGACAGATTTGGTCATCTGGGAAACATTGTGTGTATATGTCAGTTCACATGTTTGCGGTAATAAGGAAGAGCCCATGGTAACACAAGTTTTAGATCTCAGTAAACAGCCAAAACAACTTTTTTTTCTTTTCTGATTTAATATTAAGCATTAGAAAATTTAAGTGCATGGTGCTGTCACGTAACTTTCCTTAGTTTTCCCATCTGTAAAATGGAGAAAGACCTGATGCTGCAGTCCATTATAGTAAGTGCTGTTCCATTGACTCTTTCGGAAAGGGTTTCTAGTCACAGATCAGGTTTTGTAAGTGACCTTCATCAAAATTTCACTTGGTCAAAAACATTAGGCCATCTTTTGCCATTCATTCTAATGGGATTTAATTACTGGTATTATGCTGGGAAAATTAAGGAAATTAGAAAATATATGCAGAAAATAATAACTCAGCTTTAGTTGATTTTTTCCCCGTAGAACTTTAGAAGCTTATATGTGAATGCTATACCCATACCTCAGAGAGGGATATAGAGGAACAGGGAAAGCAAGCAAGTTACCTAAGAATGTCCAATAAGCCAGTACCTGAAGTAAGATTAATCTCCACTTCTAAGTTCTCAATGTATGTTGTCTTGAGTAATATTGCAGGTTACTTTTGAAAAGCTTGGCAAAGAAACTTCAGTTGAGACTTAAAAGCTGGCAGGTGCAAAGAAGGAAGAAACATTGGCTAGTACTGCTTGTGTTTTGTTGGTGGGAGGACAATCTGGCTAAGTAAGAATTTGTTTTGCTCATCAGACCATATAGGACGTATGTTTAAAGTTTAACTTTTCACAGCATGGCTTTGTGTCTACAGCTGTGAGATAAGTATTTGTTACAATGGTTTCTTTGGATTGTTTTGTTTCTTATGTGTGAAGACAACTAGCTTGGGATCTTATGTGGTTTGAATGATTAAACCAGGATATTGTCTCCCCATACTCACTCAAGACAAGAGAGACTGGGTCCAAGACCTGGGTTATTTCTTTTTATTTATTTATTTTTGAGACTAGGGCCTAACCAATAGTCTTTATTCACTTTTATTTACCTCTCCATCTATATTGAGACTTTACAAGATTGTTGACAGTTTAACTATCAAACTAACATATATTATGAAGTAGCATTGACAATGAAGTTTCCTTGTTAAGTGTGAAGGTGGGGGTATACCATTTTGATTTCGACAAAGTGATGAGATTTTCTGATCTTCTCTGTTGGTGTAGATCCTGCTGAGAGGGGCAGATACCAGGTGCCAAAGCAAATACATTCCTAAACTGCTTAATCTGTCCTCTCCTGCCCTACTCTACCCTCTGGGTGAGGTGAACGTAATGCCCAGAGAAAAGCCGCTGTTTTAATTCTGAAAGTTTGTTTTTGTATAAGAGAAACATCAGGAGCAGTTCGGTCTTTTCCCTGGCCTTCCACCCCAGCAAAGGATGTCTGTCTTAGGACCTGTATTGACCTAATAGAAGGAAAGACACTTTTTCTCTGTCGCAAAATGGTCAATCTTTGTGTCTTCATCAATATGGGCAAAAAACGAGGCAGAGGCAGCCCAGGATTTTAATGTTCTCCCTAGTGTTGAGTCCAAGCTATCAGGATGACTCACTATGGTTACCATCAGGGACTTTGGAGTTTGACATTCTGGGTTCGAATTCCATCACTTACTGGCTGCATGGCTTTGGACAAATTACTTCATCTTTCTGTGTCCAAGTTCTTGTATTAGGAAAAAGGAGTATAGTAATAGATCTATCTCATTTATCTCATCGAGTAGATATAAGGATTAGATCAGATACTATGTATGAAATACAGCTAATAAATTTTATTTAAAAGTTAACTAGAAAACGGATCCACAAAACATGGCCCAATGCAGAATTTCTAGGGAGCTTCACCATGTTCATAGGGGAGGTGGCTGTGTAATGCCACTCCCTTAAGTTCTTATTTGACAGGGAAAAAGGGGTAAAGTTAAAGGGAACTTTTTCACCTGCTTAGCTGAGATTTCATGCCCTGAATCTTCATTCTGAGCCCATGAGGATACACTTTGAGCCAGTTAACAGTTAGGGTGTTGCAGTATTTGAGGTCCTGACTGCTATGGTAAAGGCACAGGAACTAATCAGTTATTTTTGGTGATGAAGGTTGTGTGTGGTTTCAGAGCAGGAAGGCCACCAAAACTAGGGGCAGAGAGGATGTTTTCAGGGTTGATGGAGAAGTCAAGTTTTTCAATTATGCAGCATTGAGAAATGCACAGTGTCCAGTTAGTATGAAGCATCTCACATTTTATTTATTTACTTGGTTGGCAGAGCTTGCATTCCTCACATTTTTGGTTGGTTTGTATTGCTCTTTTTTTGTGGAACTTTTTTTTTTAAGAGGCCAGACCACCCTGTAGTAGAAGCATCTTAACCCTCTAGGAGAGAAGGCAGCTTGTGGTCAGCTTCCCAGAGCCCAAGTACTCTGGGCTCTATCAGACCCTTTGCAAAGTTGAGACCTGGTTAGTGTAGCTCAGGATTTTTCTGGAAAGTCTCCCTCATTTCAAAGAGCACGGATAATGCTGCAGTGGTTAGTGACAGGGTAATTGCAAATGCCTGCCTAGTTAGCAGGATGAATAACCCATGACTGTGGTGGTGTTAGAGGGCTGTTTTGAGAGACATACTGAGCCTGCAGTATGTGCGTGCTGGACACTTTCATATAAAATAGCACTTTTAAGTTGCACACCAACTCTGGGAGAGAGGTATTATTTTATCCATCTCAGATGTGGAAAATGATGTTCTAGGAGGTACGTAATTTGCCTAGAGACCACAATGTTAGAAACCGACTTATAAACCGATGAGCTGTCACAAGCATTTTTTTTATCTAAAACAGAAGCACTGTGACATTCTTAGAAAAGGGAATTAAAGCTATGGCCTATGAAAAGGTATTGATGGTGGGTTCTTGAGGTGAAGGGGCTCCCCGCAGTCCCGGCAAGACTCCTCTTTGCGGAATCAGATGGCATCCTTATGACCTGAGTGTTCTGGCTGCTGGAGAAAGGATCTGTTCTGTGAGTTGTAACTCAGGCCCACAATCCAGATGTGTTGCTTTAGGAGGATGTTTAAAGGTTGCAGCAGTGCTGACCTGCAGCCTGGAAACAGGACTAGGGCTCTTGTTTTCCTAGTC